ATATATATATATATATATATATATATATATATATATATATATATATATATATATATATATATATATATATATATATATATATATATATATATATATATATATATATATATATATATATATATATATATATATATATATATATATATATATATAAATATATATATTTACAAATTCACAAATACCATTCAAGCCATTTTACAGTGACATTTACATTCTACCTCACTGTTGTCAGTTTATAATTGTTATTTATTTACTTAATATGATTTTATTTGTATGTATACATGGACATTTACACGTTTTAACATAAATTATAGAATTCAAGCAAAGTATTGTAAAGTGTTTATCTCTTTGCATTATTTTGCAGTTATATAATCATTATATAATCCGTAGCATAAACTGATCATAATAATAATAATAATAATAATATCACAATAATATCACTTATTGCAACAATTTCTGACAATATACCGCACAACAAAAATTCCTTATTGTGACAGTTGAATTAACACAATGGTGTTTTTAAAGAGTAACATAAGAATTTGTGGCTTTTCCTTCATCAATATTTATACAGACAAATTTAATTCATCTAATGATATATAAAAAACAGACTTTGTAGAATGTTTTTAGAATTTGCAATTGTAAATTAATTTGACAGTTTAAAAAGCTATTTGTTACACTTTGTAAGTAAAATAAAATATGTATATCCAAAATATTTTAAATGGGACCAACTACATGAAAAACAGAAGCAAAACACATTTATTATGTCCTTTAAGTTGTATTATTTGCATGTAAAGTAGTCTGTGAAAGAAGTAACTATTTGTCTGTGTAAAGTTTTCCTCTAGGTGATTATGCCAGACTGGACCAGTGGTCCTTTTCTTACATGTCCTGTCCTGTGGTTTGTAGCGTCTTATATGTTTGTCCCATGTTATATGTTCCCACTCCTGGCCTGCACCTTGTCGTGGTGAGTGGGCTTTTAACCAAGACAGGCCATAGTGAATAAATTATACCAGTCTTTTAACCTTGTCATCTTTCTCTCGGGTATTTCATGTGACATCTCGTGCTTGTGTGTTGATATTCCATAGCTGATCATAGTATCCATCCCCCAGATGTGGAGCGCTCCGGTAACAGGTTCCATAGTGAGTCTTTAACTTCTGTACCTAGGTGAATATTGTGCTGCTTAGTCTTTTGTTAAACTTGTAATCTACTTAATGCTAGATTATAGATATAATTATCTATAAACCTCTATATGAAAACTATTCTTAGATTAAATGGGCCAAATGTAAAGTTAAATTTAATTTATTTTCTGAAAGCAGTGTTCCCAGATACTGAATTGAAGAACTCGTTGTCATTCAAGAATGAAATGAATTTATTTATAAAACTGTAACAATATTTCAAAAATTTGTGAATGATTAAAAGTAATAATAATAATAATAAAATAAAAAAATAAACTATATGAAAAGCAGAGGTTAACAGTGTTATGCCTACAAATGGCACTTAAGAATAAACATAAAAAAAACTCTACATTAGCCATAATGGTCAAGGCTATTTAAATCAAATGGGCCCTAAAGCCCAAATTCAAAAGCAGTGACACTATTGGCTGTTCACTGCATTTGAATGTGGTCTTTAAGGCAGTTGGCAATACTGCTTAAAAAAATATAATTTCCCATAGGTGTGAAATGAACTCCATCTTTTAGGAATAGCCCAAGACTGTCATGTCTAATGTGAGAGTGCATAATCATGGCACCATTTAGGCTATCAACAAATGTAGCCATAACACTGTTAACAAATTTCCGGGCCTTGTCAAGTTTAGCTGGCTTAGCACCAGCCTTCCACCAGCACCTCTGTGTTAAAGATGAAAACAAAATTTTCATATCAGGGTGCTGGAGCTTCATCTGGAGCAAGTCCTCTTTCATTGAGTTCACCAGCAGGACGCTGGTGACCTCCCCAATATCATTTCCTCCACAATGAAGGACAAGGACATCTGGTACGACTCTTCCTTTAATCAAGTCCTGGAAGTATTTTGGAAGTCGTTTCCACCTTAAACCGCCCCAGCCAAACCAAGAGATATGGGCCCCAGGCAGCCCAAGGTTGTTGCCCACAGTCTCCTGCGCTCTCTGGGCACCTCGTCGGACATAACTGTCACCAATGATCCACACTGTGTCTATGGAAACAAAATCAGTGATTTTAATAAATGCTGTCAGTTTTTTTGTTGACAATAATGTAACAAGGGAGAAAAACTAGAATAATGGAGCAACAACTTAAAACATATCTTTTTAAACTAAGACTACAACTTACAGTTTAATTTTTGTGACCTAACAGACGTGGATGAGGATGTTTCAGAGGAGGCCATGATGTAAGCAGCAATCAATAACTGAAAGATATAAACATTGGTAACACTTTAAAATAATGTTCCATTATTAAATATTAGTAGATGTAATTAATAAAATGTGATCCTGGTCCACAAACAGGAGTAGTCAAAATGCATTGTGTGAGTCAAAATTAGTGATATTTAGTGACAAGTTTTGAATATTTTCTACTGTAAATATATTATTGCAAAGAACTTTGGACAACTTTTAAGGGGATTTTCTTATGGAAATATTTGACTCCTTAAAATTCTAGATTTTCAAATTGTTGATTTTTAACCAAATATCATTCTATCCCAACAAACAACACATCAATATTAACTAATACTTTTGTTCCAATATAAATGTTATACTCACAATACTTTAGATAATGTTAACAAGCTCAAATTAAATGCATTACTAAATGTTGAACTATTATTAATAAATACATTATTGTGTTAGTAAATAAACCCAAGTCACATTTTACTAGCATTACTTATCACATTTCAACCAGTAAACAATATCAACTGCCAACATTGAACATACAACTGTTAATTGTTGATATAAAAAAATATTTAATTTAAGAATTTTATATAAAGAATACTTTTTGATGTTAACAATTAAATAGTTGATATCAACAATTCAGTTATTTCAAACAAAAGAAATATAATGAATGCTGAATGTTGAAATCAATAAAGCATATCCTAAGAATAAGTCAAAACGGCTTGCCACAGAGAGCCATAATAATATCAACAACATTTATTATTTTAAGTTTTGTTGTGTAGTTTCAGGTTAATTTACCTCGATAGTACGCTGAGATGTTCAAATGATTCAAATGTCGCGGGTGGTGGGATGGTCTCTATGGTTTCAGCAAACTGTAATCTTAACTCCCCCTAAGATCCGCCTCTGCCCATTTTCGAGTATCCGAGAATGACGCATTTCCAAGATGGCGACGGCTGACCACGCCTACAGTAAGCTTCATTTTTTTTTATTTTTTTTTTTATTTATTTTATCTTTTTTTTTTTTTTTTATTGAATACAAGAATAATAACATCACTGCATTGAAGAAAAAATACAATAACAAAAAATAAGAAAGACAGAGAGAGAGAAAAAAAAATACACAGCCTCAAACATTAATAAAAAAGATTGTCATAAGCTTTAAGAAACTTATTATTCTTCTTATTATTAATAAGCTTAAGAGATTCAATATTATACGAAATTTCAACAAGGAAAGTATTAAAAACGGGAATTGTTTTTAGAAACTTATTTTTGTGTATAAAAAATTTACAGTGTAACACAAAAAAATTTACAATAAGATCAAGAGCATGATCATTATCCGAGAAATACAGAAATATATCTTTTATAGACAAATTTAAATCATGTTTAAAAATGGATGATAAATAAAAAGTAATGTCATTCCAAAGATGTTTAATGTGAGTGCAACTATAGAATAAGTGAAATAAAGTCTCTTCATGTGTATTGCAGAAAGTACACAAATTAGACATATCAAAATAATTAGCAATTTGGGAATTTGTAGGATAAACATTATGCAAGATCTTAAAATGTATCTCTCTTATTTTGTTGGATATGCTGAACTTTTCAGGTAATAACCATGCTCTCTTCCATTGAATGCAGTCAGAGAAGTTGGTCCAAAAAAATTTACATCTTGGGGTGGTATATACAGAGTTACAGTAAGCTTCATTTGCGCCCTTCAAAAACCTATGGGTGACGTCACGGACACTACGTCCATATTTTTTACAGTTTATATGAGCAGAACTCTATGGAACGCCGTTGGGGCCAAAACGTCTGCAACAAACGTGTTAACGCGTAATTGCGTGTTAACACGTAATTTACGCGTTAACACGTAATTTACGCGTTAACACGTTTTTTTTTTAACTAGTCTCATTTTTTAAAGTGCTATCATTTATTCATTCTTGAAACTGCTTATTTTAAAATGTATAATGTAATTTCACTAAAATCACAATAAATGTTTTACAGTCAATGATCTGTAGCAGATATTTAGTATTATGAAAGGCCAGACATCTTCTGTAATGTTATGTTTGATGGCATAATAATGTATAATAATAATGTTTGTTATTCAGCTGCTGAGATTTCTTTGAAATATGTGTCCAGAGATATCAGAATGAGATTTATTTGACAAGTGTGTGCAAACACACAAGGTGTTTTTTTTTCCAGAAGCACATATAGAAGCACATATACATACAGTATATACATACAAATCAACACAAGAACACAGAATGACATAAGTGGATAAAGTAAATAATAAAACATTTTGGATACAAAATCAAATACAGTAAGGGTTGTGTATATGTATGACTAAAACAGGTAGCAACTAATCTAATAATAAAGATGTATAGAGAAAGATATGTAGAGATCTGGAGGTTGGGCAGGTGCACTAATCCTCTCCGCTGTCCTGATAGTCCACTGCAGTCTTCTTATGTCTGATTTGGTTATTTCTAGATGGCACTTAGAGTTTTTTTTATTTGATCTTTTTATACATTTATTGTTTGCAAAACTTTACACTATATACTTTCGGTCTTAGTACTGGAAACTCCAAATCACCAAGACAAAACATTCTTGTGTGCAAACAATTGACAATAAATAATTGACAAGTTTTGATTAAACTGTAATTAAGCTCCTTTCTGCCTGTTGAGAAAAGCCCAAGTTAGTTAAGATATACTAAATTAAAATTACAAGACAAAAAGTCGAAATAATGATTTATTAATTCAAAATATGACTAAAATCTGTAGCAATGACATAACGACAATAGATGGCGACAACTCACCATTTAAATGTGTAACTCAATTCTCTAAAGATGATTAATCTAATAAAACTTGTTTTTTTAAATAAATTTTTCATATTTCAGTTATTGAATCTTTAACTGAATGTCATTTTTTCATGCATAAAGTTTTCATAAACAAGCTAATGAAAGAATTTAAACTCAAATTAATGGTCCATGGTAATTTGACAAGTAACTTTGCAATGTAGTGGGTAACACATGCAGTTTAAGTCAATTCAAAATGAAGTGAATTTAAAGTAATATTTAACACATTATCTTTAACTAACCAAGGACAATATCACAGTATTATTATGCCACAGTATCCATAAAACAAATTCTTCTAGAGTCATAAGTCTTATTTCTTATAGTTATATTATAAATATTAAGGCGCTGCAAGCAATTTTTCATCTTGACAGGCTGGCAAAATTCGGCATGTACACTCTCTCTCAAAAACAAAAAAAAAAATTGTGGTCAGGCATGCACAGAGCATCTTCTTTCTCACAATGAGTTTCTTACTTCTATCATTCATCCAACCAAGTTCATTCTTCCGAAGTGATCTGGGAACAAGGTCAGCGCTGCAAATAGCCTGTAAAGCCTGCCCTGGCTCATTTAAAGTGATCAGCGCAATGAATGATAATGTCATTAAAAATTAAAACAGTTTAAAACGGGCTTCTCTAGAACTGTAAATATTGCACATTATATAACAAATTGTGTTAAAGCATACCAAGCATATAGCTGACTTGTGCACTTCATGCTATTCTTTCTTCTTGCTTATTTTGCAGATAACAGACCAATAAAAAATACATTAAAATAAAGATACAAATTATATCAAATAAGTTTCAAAAAGATATATTTTCCAAGAAAGATATAAAAGTGTATATCCTTTTATAAAAGTGTATATTTATGGGCAGGAACAAAGTTTTTGTTCCTGCCCATAAATAGATTTTTGTTCTGGGAAATAGGGGTTTATTTAATGTTACACTGTAATTGGGTCACTGTAATTGGGTCACAAGCCCGTCATTTGTTTGCTACATTTTTAATTTGTCTTTATGTTAAAGATTTTCATAAGTATCTGATTTTTCCTTGTTCTAATGTGCTTTCATTTTCTCCTCACCTGCTGCAGGAGTTTTAAAATCGTAACTAATAATGAAATCTGGTTACAGCACACACAAACCTTAAACGTGCGCACACTACAAGACCAGAAAACTGTGGCACAGCAAACTACAAGATATTATTAAGATTATGATAAGCCTGATGGAGCACATAACCTGATTGCAGAATAACTCTGCTTTATGATAGGCTAACTAACAAATATTTGACCAACTGCCAGAGCGAACAGCCTGCAGAATGAAAAAAATGCTGCTTGAAAAGAGCACAGTCCAAACAAATGTCTAATATTATGAATAACAAAAATAAAACAAACTACTACTATTATTATTATTATTATTATTATTATTAATAATAATAATAATAATAATAATATTACGGATCAGAGAGAAGACAAAGGCAGATTAACAGAGAATGGATATTTAATGATATTTTAAACAATGTTGAGGTTGTTCAGAAAAGAAATAACCAATACCAACAAAAAGAAGACAAACAAACAGAACTTAACTTCGGGTTGTAACAAAAACAAGATGATGCCAGTCGAGGTAAACAGTACAGGATTCACAGGACAAGATAACAGACAGGATGACACTGGTGAGCAGGCAGGTAGGTAGGCATGCAGGCAGGCTACATCGTCAGGTAAATGCTGTCACACTGAAGAGAAAGTCTGGCTAATAACAAATAAATCAAACCATAAATGAGTGAGTGTTCCAGGCTTATCTAGTGTGAGCAGTGATGAGCAACAGGTCAAGGTGATTAGTGATTAGTCTGATGATTGGGGCTGTTCAGGTGCAGTGAATGAATCTGTCAGTCCAGAAGGATTCCTGACAATTATTATTATAAGCTAATATCATAATAATGGGATGTGCCGTGCTTTGACTGGCTATTTATTTCAAAAGAAAAATTGTTAGTTGTTGCACTTCATAGCTTATGGTGTGGAAAAAGGTAATTCACAATGCAACAAAACCCTGGTCTGCAGTTACAGTACTGTCTCTCCCTCTGAATTTTATTTTCTATACTTTAATTTTCTAAACCTTACATTTTAATGTTTAAGCATTTTATTTCATTGGCTACACATCTGGGTCATAGTAACCACACACACAGAATAAAGTGTGGCTAATGAAAAAAAAACGATAGTCTAAGCATATTATAAATTAGCTTGTTAATTTATTCATTTGTTTGAAACCAACACAATTCCCACCAGCTTTTCTTTTTAGGCTTTCAGGATGTTGTCACAGCCATGAACGGAATAACTGGCTTTATTAATAGCCTAATTGTTATAATTTGACCAACTGCCTATAGGCACAACCTCAAAATGGTTTCTGGCAGTTATAAAAAAATAAACGCATGCACTCAAGGTGTGCTGCAATTCTCTTTCATATATGAAATAAAAGTTTGTATGTTAGAGAGAAACAGAATTGCGGCTCATCGCGTGCTTTTACTTAATTTTATAAAAGCCAGTAAGAGATATGCAAACTGGGACATAATGACACCTATTTTAAGGTTTTGCTTCTAGTGGCTGGTAATAAAATATTACCATAATTATTATTATTATTATTATTATTATTATTATTATTATGAGCAGGTTGTTGTTATTCTGTTCATTGTTGTGACAAGGTCCTGTAAGCCTAAAAAGAACAGCTGGGGAGAATCATGTCACTTTTACCAAATAAATAAATATATATAAGCTAATTTATAATAAGCTTAAATTATAGTTTTTTACCCAAAGTGAATATATATATATATATATATATATATATATATATATATATATATATATATATATATATATATATATATATATATATATATATATATATTTATTATATATATATATATATATATATATATATATATATATATATATATAT